GTGCAATGAGTTTGTTAATAATGATATTTACAGACAGGGTAGTGTCAATTTATATCTTGATATACTGTACAGAGAATTATTCATTAAAACTGTGTGTAATAATCATTACACAATGATTTTCTGTCATCAGATTATGTGAGTTGAGCAGAATGAAAGTAAGCTAGTTGCTGGAGTAGGTGGAGCTCAGTGCAATGGGGTGCAATCTTAGGAAAGCACAGAGCAAATCAGCAGGCAGCCATTAAAGTGGCTTTTACCCAGACAGATGGTTTGTTAACTCTTCTCTTTCCTAGTTTGAAGCTAAAGATTTAAACTATCATCGTCTTGATCCCCACTTTAAATGGTACACGATTGAGGAGATATTTGTTTTCTCATGAAAGGACAATAAACGTTCAAATTCGAACTTGAAAATCTTTTTTTTTGTTTCCAGCTTTAGACAACTGTGCATGTGAATCCCTCACTGTGACTAAAAATAGAACATCTGGTTCCCATAGTTTGTCTGAAGCAATGCACGGCAGCCTATAGGTTGTGACCCTGAATTTGAAACGATCTATGACAGAGAGTGTCTCAGTGTAGGATCTTTAAATGAAGGCAGTCTCTGGGAGCATTTTTAAGCCCATTCAGGCTGTGTTTGGGTCAAATGACCTATGACCTCTTTATATAGAAACACAGAACATGGCCAACCAGATGTCCCTTGAAACTTTGTGAAAACATTCTTTCACAAGAGAGCGAGTGTTTATGCACAGCTTGCAAATTGGTGGCTGGTATTTCAGTTATTAATCAGATAAGGCAACTTTATGGTGAACCACTGGGAGGATTGGAACAAGAAGACTTTAAAAACCCATAAACCTAACTGCCCCAAAAGAATTTTAAACTCTAGACCAACAAACCAACACCACTGGTTTCTTTTGTGTGCCAAATGTCCTGAAAATTCATTAAATATTTCCAAAAGGCTTGCCTAGTGCATTTTTTAAAAGTTATAATCACTAATGTGCCCAGGCTAAGGCTGCTCACTAATGTTGTTTGGAGTTTGCACTGTATCCTTATCAAGGCAAATTAATTCAAGTAAAATTGTCAAATGAAAAAGTTTGTTTTGTCTAAAAATAAAAAATGCTGGAGACAGTTGTTTCAGGTTCTCTATCTACCGTTGAAATCGAACAATTACAGAACAATGTAGACTGGGTAAAAGCCAGCAGTAAGTTTTTACCATTGAAGTATATGAACCTGAGTGTTATTTAAATTGGCTAGTGTGGAATGCAAATTATATACAAATTATATAGTAGGAGGTTCCTACTCCATCTTACCTAAAGTTTGGGGTCTAAAGGTAGAAGACTTAGAAGTTAGACATAAAGAGAAGCTACCTAAGGTCGTCCTATCCAGATTGTTATGCACTATTCAATAAATTGACATTGTCTGCTGATTTCTAAACATTTATATAGAGTGGTGGAGCTATGACCTTTAGTGAGTCAGCACACCTCAGCTGTCCTTCCACATTTTGACCTGCTCACTCACCATGAGTGAAATGAGTAAAGGCGTTATAATTTCTGTAAAAACAGTCTGACATTTTCGCAGTTCTGGTAAAAGACCCATCTAATAATAATAATAATTAAAAAAAAAACTGCAATGTGAATGCCAAACCTTGTGTACTGAACATAAGGGCAAAAAAGTCTGCATCATTACACCCACAATGCCTTCAAGAAAAAAAAGGAAGCTTACACCACACCAGATGATAGGCTCTAATGTTAATGTTACAACTTTATAAAATGTCACCAATGTCTTCATTTTACACTAAATACACTTGCTACAAAACCATCTCTATTTAAGCCCTGCAATGCTTTAGAGTTATCTGCTAAGATGTTTCATCATTGAGATTTACTGACATGATTTAGATTTGGATGGAAGTATGATCTGACTGCTTCCTGAGGAATCTTTGCCATGTTTCTTTATCTACAAGTATAGTCCTCGGTGAAGCTCAATTTCTGTCCCTGTGTTTGACTCCAGTCATAAATCAGCAGTTACACAAATGGCCTTAAATGTTACACTGAACTTCTTTTAAATCAAAACAGGATGTACGAGGTTCATTCAAACAGTTCACCTGAGCATGACTGAGCTGGAAAGATGTTTTTATAGAGTTTTAAATAGATATAGGCACAAGCACCTCTCCTTCTCACCCACTGCGTGTATGTGTGGCCTATATTAGGGGGAAAGTCCAAGAGAGATGTATTACATTTTTCCATTAACACTTTAGGCCAAATTTAAAGACAATGCTGTGTATATATTTCCAGTTATATATAGATGAGTAATCACTTACATGGACATGTGAACCTTTAGATAAATCAGAAAAATAGTCAGTGTTCAGTGATGAGTCACTCTACCATCACTCACCTGCACAATAGAACTTGATTATTGCTCTGTGCACACGCACACTGATAACATTGCACTGAGGGTGGAGACGGACAATAATGCAACATTAAAGTGGATCACTATTTGTCATGTTCTGATACTTGACTTGTGTGAGAGAGGAGTGGATTCTAACTATTCACATCAACATAATCTGTGGAGCAGAGAAGTAAACAAGTATGGTAACGGTAAGAAAATAACCAATGCACTACCACTTACAATCCCAGTACACCCCCCTTCCTCACACACACGCATTGCAAAAGAAAAAAAGACAGTTTTCCCACACCCTGAAGTAGGGCTCACTGACCATAGGACCAAGGACAGATGCTTGTTGAATTGAACAAATGGGCCTTTTACCAGAAGTTGCCAGAACAAATGTAATCCACTCCCGTGTTTTACTGTTGTGTATTTTTTGAAAAACCCTTGAGAGAATGTTGTGAAGGAGGTGCACAGGCACAAGAGGCCGCACTATTCCAACCTCGCAGTGAATGAACAGAAATAAAGCTAGAAAGCAAGTCAGAGAAGGTCAGAGTTCTGACAAAAAACAAGGACAAAAAAAGATCATTTATTTTTCTTTAAAAGCTGAAAACGATGGAAACTAGAGAACTGTTATCAGTAATAAAATATAGTAAATAAATTATATACATATGTATATAATATGTATGTCTCGTTGACTTTATTGCTTACTTGGTGAATTATTATTTAAATTTAATGTTTAGTGAAATGAAAGCAGAAGTCATTTTCATTTTTTGCATGAAGAGCTGTAGTGTATATTTCGGACTTCTAGTGCAGGGAAAAGCTTTAACCATGAACCATTAATATTTTCTAAGCATAAAACAGAGTTGGGTGTTAAAGCAAAATTGACAGATATATTGATTACACTTAAAAAATAAAGGTGGATTAGTCATCTTTACTTCACTTAACCTCATCTGAAGTGTTAATGAAACCTAGAGAATAAAATGTAAAAACAGCATGGTACCAACTCACAGTGACTGTAACCTATAGAGTTAACACTTCTGAGTGTGAATATGCACATGATTGTATGTGTGCTGGGGTAAACATGTGCGTGCACACTTGTCAGGACTTTTTTTTTTACATAATTGTCAAGATTCAGTTCCACACATTTGGCGTCATATGCTATTTATAAATATCGCAGTGCTTTTTATTCCCCTTTTTGAAATGATGTTAAACCAGTAAGATGTGACATCACTGAAGCATCGAGGTGAAAATCCACATTTCTGCCTTCAACTGGTTAAAACTGTAGAAGTATGCTTGTAGAAGACAGGAACTCACACAGAAGCACACATAAACACACACTCTCTTCATTTCTACTGCTGCCAGATTAAGCTGATGGCTAATGCATGGACTGTTACATCAGCCTTTGCATTAAATTTACGACCCACAAAATTGCATTACAACACACAAAATGGGAAATGCGAAAATTGACAAAACAATAAAACATTGAAAGGCAACTACAAAAATAAAATCAAACCAGTCTCAACTCTGTAACAAACTTTTTATTGCCATCACTCATGATAGCAAATGCGTATGTCTTATACATAACAGAGAAACATTTTCTAGAAAAATCCAAATTCAGTGAAAAAGACCTGATATATTTCCCTGTCTCATTTCTCCATACTGACCAAGGGAAGAAAGAAAAGAACTCCTGGAGACAAGTTAGCAATAATCTCCCAGGAGATAAAGTGATTCTGGAACGACAGAGGGGGACATCCAAACACTTTGTTACCCACATTTCCACTTCCTCTTTCATTTTATGTAAAAGTAGGCTACCGTGTCTTTGTTTAGGGAACGCAGGGGAGCTGGGGGGTGTGTGAGGGTGAATTGAGGGTGGAGGCATGAAGATCCCAAGTGTTTTTAAGATAGAAAAGTTTCCCCAAATATAGAAGAATTAGATAAATCTCATTTGGATGTCATTTATTTTTCAACCGGTTTTTAATACCTAAAAAGTCCAAATAACCCCAGGACAATGTCAGTTAGGTTTTTGCAGCACATTCCTCTGAAGGTTTCACATCCACTTTGACTGGAGAGGTGGGGGTAGAGGTGGCAGCTGCTGTGCCCCCCCCCCCCTCCCTGCTTCTGGATCTCAGAGCCAGTAGCATAGACCGCAGCCTCTATCATTAGTAACACTTTGGGGGGAAAAAACCCATGTGGAGCTGCCCATCACGTCCAGATACCCGAAGGCACGACGCACTCAGCCCCCCGTAATGATCACACTCCCCTTCTCTCTCTTCTATCATCACTCATTTCCTGCTGGGAGGTGGTAGAGGGTGTGGGTGGCTGAAAACAGATCTGGCTGTGTTTACAGAGAGAAAAAAAGCAGCTAGCATTCTTCACATTGCCAGCTATGAAACCTCAGACATCATGCTCCATGAGTAAACTCTATGAGTTTATCATGGTGACAAAAAGAGATGCCTGATATGAATTCACCGTCTACCTAGGCAAGCCGACTAGAAGACAACTTCCATTCTGCACAAGTATGTGTTTCAAGAAATAAATAAAGAGGCTGTCTGTTATCCTGCAAAAAGAAGCACACTGAACAAGCAACTGCTGATTTTACACAGAGAGACGACCCAGAACCTTACCTCGTTTGTAGCAATGTACACGCCGCTCAGCAGTCCATCACACAGTGCTTTCTCTGCCAGTGTGTGTCAGCAGCAGCTGCAGAAGAAGCAACAGGCAGGAATGAAGGGAAGCGCTGCAGGAAAACTAAGATGAGAGTAGAGAGAGGAAGAGATGGAAAGTAGAGGGGATAAAGGAGAAGAAGATGAAAAGTTAGGAGTGATTCAGCGGGAGAGAGCTAACAGTCATTGACAGACCTCTAGTTGGAGCAGGAGGTTTGTTTGAAGCCTACAAACTAACTCGCTCCTCTGCCTGTCTGCCTGCCCAGTTTGACGTCATAGCGGTCACATGACCTCAGTCTGGTGGGGAGGGGAAATAAAAAAGGAGGGGAGAGCAAGGGAGAGGGCGAGAAAGAGAGAGAGAAAACCTGTTTCCACGGCAACAGGCACACTGCACTGCTATGATTTCAATAGGTCTCTGTCTCACATACATACAAATGCTGAAAAAGAAAGAACTGAATGATAAAGGAATGAGGTTAAAACATGTGGTTCTCTTTATTTTCTATTAACCCCCTGCCCATAATTAAAGCAAATGTGTGAATACATTTTACTGTATCTAAACTTTGTTAAAATATGACACAGCCAATCATTAGAAATTATTTTTAAAAAGCTTAAAAATATAATTATCATTGAAAATATTTGGTGCTTTGATCACTACCTTTGTCCATATTTTCTCTTTACCCTGGTTTGACGCTCTCTGGTCAAGGGCTATTTCATCTAAACATAAAAATCACAAATTAAAGTTTTGAAATTTGCAAAAGTTCTAAGACAGGAACAGGACCATTTCTATTTGTAGCATATTTAGGTGCTATATTTATATTATTATTACATATATACATGTATTTACTTAGTGTTTTGGTGCATTTTAATTACTTGATTTGTGTTCCTGCCATGAGTATTTTGGGGGGGTTGGGTGGTTTATGTGCATGGTTTTTTGTGAAGCACTTTAAAATGTGCTTTATAAACAAAGTTTTACTGATTTTGGGATTCCAACAAGTCCCTATTTGGGTTGCATCTATTAACGCTAGTCCTATCTCTATGTTTTCTAGTTTTTTTGCATCTATGTATGTGTGTAAGGGAAGGGGGCATTAGATGAAGAGTACACAAAGAAGTAGGTTGTGCACTGTGAGAACAAAATAAAATTTTCAGGGTCAGCCAAAACCCTCGTTACCCCACCCTCATCCAAGCTGTGAGTATGAACAGCTTAAGTCAAAGTGTATTCATTGGGATAGCATCTGCTGGCCTGTTGAATGCAGAGCTGTGGGGCCCAGATCTGGGTGGGGTTGTGTGT